CCTACCCTTACTGCAAACATGGTGATGACATGATGCTTGTGGGCAAGCATGTGTGGCCTTATAAAAAGCGGCGGGGCTGGGCAGGCGCACCCCCCCATTTGCAAACAAAATGATCCGCACAACGCTCACTGCAAACATGGTGAAACAAGATCTTTTCCCGTAAGCATGGATGGCTTCAACAAAGCCGGGGGAACAAAGCAGGGGGTTGGCGGGGGGGCAGCCCCAAGATCCGCAGAACAATCTCGTACTGCAAGCATGATGAGGACATAGTTTTTCCTGTAATTAAACATGGATGTCTTGAGAAAAGCCCGGGGGGTTGCAGGGGCGCAGCCCCCCATTTGCAAACAACATGATCCGCACAACTTTGCCTTACTGCATACATACATAGCGATGACATGTTTTGTAATCGTCAGCATGCATAGCTTTTCGCTCGTGGCAGCTTTGATAAAAATGCGCTGCTAGTTTGCATCTCAATAGTATTCTGAATATCACAACTGCCTCTTCAAACCAGCAGGCGTGGCAAGCAAAAAACGCCGCAAAACCTATCCTGTGTTGGGGGGTCGCGGTGCACCCACCCGCATCTACCACAGCACCTCCCCCCTAGCGGCAGCTTTGTTGAGAGTGGGTGCGGGGTCTCGAATGGCATTCTGGATACAGGAAGCTCAAGTACTCATGACCGTAGAGCCCTCAAGAAGCCAATGGCGACACTAGAGCAAACAAGACGCGGAAAGGAAGAAGCAAAAAGCAAAACGGATGAAAGCAGCCAGCAGGAAGCAGAGTGTAGTCAACAAGCAAGAGGAAGCTAAAAGCAACAGAGTCGAGGCACAAAGCAAAAAGCAGAAAGCAGCAAGCAGACCGTAGGCAGCAAAAAACCGGAGGCTAAAGCAGGAAGCAAAACACAGGAACAGCAGAAAGCAAAAGCAGAAATCAAAACAGAACACATGGGGACCAACATTACCGATTCAGGCAACAGGCACAGAGAAGGCCCCTGATATCACATTTCCAAAGGAGCTGTCGCAACATGCATCGCAATATCAACAGTCACAGTCAGTAAGGGGCTGCGCAAAAAGGAGCAGTGCACAGGCGCACCCGGATCCGAAAGCAAAGAAGCTCATCAGCACGAAGCCGGCCTCAAATACATGTCCAACCGGACTTCTTGAGGTTTCGGTGCACCGCAGCCTGCAGCATCATGAACATGCCGAAGAAGGCCACGAAGTTCGGCAGGGAGACATTTAGGACCTGGCGGTGGTAGCAATTTGCTTGAAAAGACAGCGGAGCTTGGAAAACACAAGCTCGATCCGAATGACAAAGTGTCATTGGGAAATCAGCAGCTGGCTTTTTTCTGTGCTAGACCAAGATTCGAAACTGTTTCTGACAGCTTCCGCCATTTACAATTTACTTGGAAACATCCTGCAAGGTCCGATCTTCTACATATCAAGTCATATCAACGCTTTCTTTGCAGCTGGACTCAGGCCAGTGTTGCGTCCAGGCCAGGGCAAGCTGAAATGTCACCCTTCCTGTAAATTGCGCGGCAGCGGCGTCAACAATGTGAGTGTTTCATCCTTAAACTAGTAAGGGCTCAGGGTCGACATCTAATTTGCAAAGCCAGTCTTACAAATCAGCTCAACACAGGACACTCAAATGGCTGAAGGCCTTCCGTTCGGTCCAACTCTGAAATTCAAGGAAACCGAAATCAGAACCCTTCTGAGAAAGCCTCATCAAACATTCAATGTTGTCGGAAAAAAGCACTGTTTAGCAATTTGTTGGCGCAGTACCCACTCTGATGTCCAAAAATCCGGTTTGATGCTACTGATACTTATGGCCGCTGCTGCCGCGGCCACGTTTTCGTCCTCCCCCTTCTATTAAGAATGACACTTCTTCTAATGCTACTACTGCTGCTACAGACCAATGCTATTTCTGGGCCCATATGGCCCACCACTTCTGCGGACGAGGACCATGACGCGCCAGATGAGTGGTAGGGGTTTTAGGGCTGAGGGTTGGGGGGTTGGAGAGCTTAGGCTTGCTTTTTGTTCCTTTCGGGTTCGGGTTTGGGACTTTACGGTTTGCGGTGCTTGGAAACATGTAGGGTTTGGGGTTGCTCAGGGTTTACATTCCTGGGCTGTTTAGGGGTTGGGGTTGCCAAGGAGTTTTGGGGTTTGGGGGTTTGGAGTTGCTTCAAAAGATTTCGGATTTTTGTTTTTCTTTGTAGAGAAAGGGTTGCACTCATGACCAACTTCATGCAGATGGTTAACAGTTAGCAATTCCCCCATTTTGTCCAGTGGCCATGCAGGCCACGCAAACCAATCATCTTGGCCGTGCTGCTACCACCGCCATCGTCGTCTCCATTGTGGTCGTCATTGATGTCGATTACGTCTCCCAGATCGCGCAAGGTAGTTGAAACCCTGTAAGACTGAGAAATCCTCCCCCTTCCGAGGGATGCCAGAAGGCTTTGTGGTTTCTTCAAACATAGGGGATGCGGGGAGGGATTGGGGGTGGGGTTAGGGTGCGGGGGGGCGCAGTGGGGGAGCATTCGAAGCAGGCGCACACAACGACGACGATGATGGCTGCGACGATAACTACTACTACAACAGCGACGTTGATCATATTGTGACTGTGACTAGGACGGCCCCGACGACGACAATGATGGCTGCTGCTCTTGTACTCCGACACCAAAACCGATACGAAACCTTGCTTGCCGCTTTTTTGCTTCCACACTCAAGTGCGAGCCTGCTCACTTACCTACGTTGTCCTGCCCTTAGACACAAACTTCAAGCCCACAGCTGCGACAATAAAGCGAACAAGATCAGCCTGCTGTATGAGGCCGAGGTTGCTGTGCAAGCCGGACACAAGGCTGACTGTGCGCAACTTGGCCCATCAACGCTACACTACACTTGCAAGTCATGCAACATCACCTAGAAGCCCTGCATGACTCAGCTACGCACGCTTACCACGAGCAAGTTGAATGCCTGAGCCATTTTAGTTAGCTTTTGTGCAATCCGAATCAAAATGTTTGGGATGTCGTAGGCAGACAAAGTATGATCGTACCAACACTGCCAAGCGTCAATTAGAAGACCTTGATCCTGCAGCACAGCATGTCTGCTTGGCGTGGGCATGTTAGCACATCAAAATCTGCACTTGACCAAACTTCATCCTCGGAACTTGTCTACGTACGGTGCCCAAAGAGCGCAATGCTCAAACAACAGGAACCTACCATCCGCCAGACTGCTTGAAACCGAGCTTCATAATCACGAGAGATCAGGGGACGGCAACCGACTGTGTGGGGACGGCCGTCGCGCGAACCGAGGCGCAATGGCAGACGGCACGAACCACTACCAAGCCCAAGAGGACACCAGAAAAAATGGATTATTAGCAACGCTAAAGATGAGAGGGAACATCATCGTAGAGACCGAAGCCTTTACCAACTTCGTATTATGCCCGCGAGATTAGTCGAACGAAATGGAGTTCTGAAATTTGCGGGGTACAACCGTAGCCACAAGCGCAACAAGCTCACGTCTACAGAAAGGAAGACATTGGTCATGCGCACCTTCGACGCTTCATTCTCTTGGAAGATGGACGTCATTTTGGCTTGGACATGTTTGCGTTCAGCGAATGTCACGGAAGGTGGATGATATCTCTGCTTGGCATGTGCGCACTCGACACAATGTCTAGTAGTTCGACATTCTCATGAATTGGACGTTCGCACGTTAACAATGAATGCTCTCCTAACCGGAATTAAGCGGACATGGTCTTGCTTTTGTGCATATGCGCATTCAACAATCGCTCCCTAGGTACATTCTCATGGCTCGGCATGTGCACATTCAACGACGGATGCCATCGTAGCTAGACTTGATGATCGTTTGGATTCCATTCCACAGTGACGCGTTCAGCAGAAGATGTTCCTGTAAGATGGGCGTTGCTGAGAGGCAGCCTCACAACTGAATTCTCCGTCTTGACGCTTTTCATCTACAAACCGAATCAATTTCCACATCAGACTGGCAGTACTGCTACGACAGGTGACGGATCGTCGGGTTCAGATCGCTCTGGGGGGTTTGGGTCAGAACAGCTCTGCCGGAGTGATGTAGGTCTGGAGCACGGGATGCAGATGGGCAATGGCGCCTCGTAACAATAGTATTCCTGTCAGCACTAGCCAAACCTTAGGGAAAGTTGCACGCCAATGCAAACACGATTCTGCTTACCTTCGCCAATGCTGTCAACCAGTTACAGCACACGAGCTGCAGATCATAAGAGGCAAGTGAAATAGCTTACTAGGCACTGTCTAATTTTGTAAGATGATCCTAAACCTTTACACTGCGCTAGTACCAAGACCCACTCCAACATTCGAAAGTGTGGGTTCAGCAAGCTGTGTCCCAGAGCTACATCATGAGAGCTGCACCGGTCGGGGGCAAGTGAGTGCGTGTGTGGACAGCATTCGGAGAAAGGTATAAACGATGCCACACTTCAAGATTGTCGAAGAATATTAGCAATCATCGGCAAACAAGCAGGGCCCGAAGCGGCTACAAATTTGATGCAAGCTCGAGGAGTTGATCATCTCGGGTCTTAAACTGCGACTCCATCTGAGTTTTGCCACCTCGGCAGCAGTGACTGTTACAAACACAAGAGAATTCAAGGATCGCAAGACAATGTGTTAGAGATCCAAGCTTCCAAGAAACAAAGCTCACAGGGATCGCGACATATCGCTAACCCAAAGATTTGATCAGTCAAACTTGTTGCCATCTGCAACCCACCCCAAGGTCGATGTCTGACAAAAATCTTCTACGAAGTTGAAGTACACAACCATCTTCAAAATCTCCCGCTCATCACACACCAACATTTACATCCCACCGAAACCTGAGACGCACGGTTTCGGGCCCCTAGAACTGCCCCGGACATGACGGCTCAGAACCTGACTGCATGTTCAAATTCATGAGAAAAAAGGACTATCAAGCATCAGAGTCTTTCGAGACCAGGAACTAGATTCAAACGTCGAAACATGTCAAGCTGCTTCTTTTATGAACCCCTTCGTAACATCAACATTGTGTGAAAAAGCTCTTCATCCTGGGCGGCGGCCTAATTGATTCTAGGGGCGGCGGAAGGGGTCGATTCTAGCCTCGATCTCCAACACTCAAAACTAGAAAGCTTCTGCTGCGTTTTTTTCGACTCCTCCCTTCGACCATGAGACATAGAGAAACACCTTGACAAGTTAATTAAGTATACGGTATGCAGCTGTCATCCCGCAGGTTCAGTGTAGCAAAATGCTGTTGGGAGGGTATGTTACATAAAACTCAGCTTGAACTCACTGTGAAGGCTGACCATGCCCTTGTGACCTTACTTTGCCAGGACATGCGACGCTCACTATTCTGGCTACTGCCACTGTTACTTTTGTCAGAGAGCTGTCCTGCAGGGCTCTGGCAACCTCACACAGAGCAGAATACGTCGGTGCCTGAGAGAAACACGACAAAGCGATGGCGCAACGAACGGAGCACAAGGCAACAACGCAAACTTGACATGCGTGGAAGAGCATCCGCCACTTTGCTGTCAAGTCGCTCTTGTATTCGCGTCTTGCAGGTCCTGCAAAATCGATCAGCATAGAACATCAGCATCGCAAGCAAAACGAAGATTGACCATGCCTCGAATTGGAACTGGGCAAACGGCGGCATCTGCTCGATCACCCAGTAGGATAAGAAAACTCCCAAGGACACGGTGATGGAGACCAAGTCTGTTGCTGCGCCCTGCCGCCTGTGATGGCAGGTCTTCAATGCATGGGAAGACATGGTTAGACCACAGCTCGCAGCGAGTGAAGGGATAAATCCTAGCATGACAAAAAATACAAGGGTCGCCCTTTTGCGGGAAAGCTCCCAAAGAAGCACCTAAGGGAATTCACAAGGTTTCCTCGATCAATTCAGTGGCATGTTTTGTCCAAGCAGCGCTTTGCCATAGTGCTTTGGTTCGGAATTGGCCCCTTGTGTCTCTGTTGTGCGGGCGTAGATTTTGCAAGGAATGAGTCGCTTTGCAGCTGTAGGATTCTGTGTCCCGGCTCTTGGCTTGGGGAGGGCAGTGAGTGCTGTTCAATGTGAACAGATGGAGCTTAACATGCGACCCGTGAATAGTCAAACTTTTTCACTGGGCTGGCTTGCGAGAGCAAGCTCTCGGGAATGAATTCTGCGCTTCGGTCCAGTCCACGAGTCTTGCAGAGTGAATTGAGGGTCTGGCTTTGCCAGATTCTTGCTCAAGTGCTTAAAATGTGCACGTTCAGGACTCTGGGCCTCCTCAGCGTATGTTCGACATGTGCACGCTGCATAACACCCATGACTACTTAATCAGGGATGCGTTTTTGCTGCTGCCCTAGTGCCAGGTGAGTTTTGACAGAATGCCAGCCTTACGTACAGCCCTTGCCAATGGAAACACCTGTACTTAGCAGAGCAACAGGACAGGAACGAATCCAGCTGTACAAAGTCTCATGAACTGACACGCACAGCAGAAAAGCCTGAAGTGCTGGAGGAAGCCCAAGTCCCACATGCGCCGAAACCTGAGCCGCTAAAACTGAACCTAGGACCTACCAGATGCCTCCATCCAATGAAGAGCTGGGGCGCAAACTCAATCAGGAGGAAGATGGCAAGCATCACAACACCTCCATCCCAAGCAATCAGGACTGAACCATCTTGTGGAAGAACTACTATCAAAACAGCAAATCTGGCTGATTGAAGTCAAGAAGCAGGTTATGCGAATGACATAAAAAGCAAGATACAGCGTCACGTTCCTGATGGCAGCAATAATGTCATTACAGCATCCGACTGTCAAGGCGCATGAAGGAGAAGGGATGGTGTAAGCTCCAGGCGTGTTGAAAACGTTGAGGTTAAAGCTCCGTGCAATCTGCGATGCAAGCATTACTCTGCTGCTCTTCTACAGAGCCTGCGACTTTGCATGTGGCTGTGTGTGAAACTGTGTTGAAGATTTGGCCGGCCTGTGTCAACTTGATGTTTCCGGCAAAATCGAACGTAAACATCAACACAAACTGGACGAACATATCCTGAGGAGAGGCCGCTTGATTGCCGCGGTGTTCACCCAAAACCTGGCTGCTGGAAAGTTGCTACGTTGGCATTGTACACGATGAAATCCACCTGCTTCCGGGCAGGCATGACCGCGCTATGAAATTTGATGAAGCTGGCGATAGCTAGCGGCTAGCGCACCGTGAAGGCAGCCAATCTCAGATCGAAGGCGTTGGCTTGATGCATGTTGTCTAACAATACCTCAGGAACCACTGCAACTGCAGCAACCAAACTCTCCTGGGCTACGGCTGAAAAGGCACGTCATAGGCTTGAGCACCTTCCATTGGATCAAAGAAGCTCACGTAGCCTCCAGCATGGTCCTGCCACAGCACCATGTGAGATGTCAGCACTTAACAACAGCAAAAAGCCGACTACAGCCCACTTTTGGATTGATAATGGAGGCCGGCGCACGAAAGCATACTGGGTCTCCCATGCGTAGCAATTGTCAGACCTCCGGTGCTCAACTGTTTGCAGATCCTTTCCATCTTATCAGCCGGAACCATAAGCCACCAGCGTGGCGTTCTGTCCAGGTAAGCACATGTCCGCCTTGTCCTTGCTTGGATGGCAGTAAACTGGAAGAGCCGCGAATGCAGTGTGCTCCTCATCAGCACTTTCAGAGAAGGGACTCATGGTCCGTCCAAAGCCTTCCGAGCTTCCAAGTCAGAACAGTCTGACTATAAGATAGATTCGCCATGGCACATACATCGCATACCGTGCATGCATATATGCTGAAGTACAAAGAACCAGACCCGCAAGTCGGTTCGGCGTCGATGAACTGAACCTAACAGCAAGCTCATCGTTGCAAGCCAGAACAACTTTTAGTCGTGTCAAGGCAGCAGCTGTCCAACTGTTGGCACGACCGCCCAACGCTTGAACGTGAAGCGAGCCTGAAATGCATGCACCCGAATTGCAAACAGTAGGCCGTGTTGCGCACTCACCTCAAAGCTCCTGGCTAAAACAATGCGGTTGAAGCTGCCAATTGTAGAGGGAGTGACGCTGTAGTTCCTGTGCTTGCACTCACATCATTCCCTCCAATCTTCTGCCGCATGCGAGAAGGCTCAGCTACCGTGCAGCCAAGTTTCCAAGATGACCAATTCCCCCAGCCATCTCGGCTCCTGAATTCATCCATCGTGCAAGCCGTTGCGTGTGGGACCTTCTGAAGCTCTGAGGATTTGACGACATCGGCTCTTGTTCGCTAAAGATCACCGGCTTGAGCGACGTCTGTGGGCAAAGTGCGGCATCTGTGTTGAAGCAACTATTGCGATTCGGAAGTTGAGCCTACGCGTCCCGCGTAGATGTCTCGGGTCCGCAAAATCGCGAAGTAGGGGGTCCGAAAGAGAAGCTGCACCAGTCGCAGTTAACGCCTGTTTTCATTAGTAATCATTAGTGTGCTATCGTATCAAGTTCTTCAAGCTATCTACGGGCTCCGGCGGTAAAGTTTGGGAAATGGACAGCCGTGGGCTGGTTTGCTGCCAAAGCGGACTGACTTCACTACCGAAGCAAGCCTCAAACAAGACTCTTCAACATCTTGCTTGGCTTTGTCTGGCACAAGCTTCTGTGATTCTTGTGAAGACCGTTTACGCAAATAAAAAGCCACCCGTCTGTTGCTGCAAAAACCGGACATGATATGTGTCTTGTTGCTGCGGGTTTCCGGAGAGGCGGAGAGGGACATGATTCTACCCAAAAGCAGTGCCCTTGCCGCGGGACCTTCAGCCAGTGGTAGACCTGCTCCGGATCCTGGTACCAAACAATGGGTTTAAAAAAAGCTGAAGGCTGACAAGCTGCCCGGCCTGGACGTGCTCTACATGCCTGCCGAAAAAAGTACTGCAGGCCATTCTCATGAACATGTTCAGTTCTGCGCGAGAGCCATGGAACTGTTTGTGACACAAACACCCCAGCATCTGGCAAGACGACTTTGCATTGCACAGTGCAGACCAATGACGCACTTGACCGCCTTCGATAATCATCATTTGTTGGCCAAAAAGAGTGGAGATAGCTCAGCACCCCTGAGAGCAAAACATCACATATGCCGCTGGATTAAGCAATGTTTACTCTGCTGTTTCCGTGTGTTGGTAGGTTAGGAATAACCGTTGCTTTTTGGTGCACTAGCTACTCCCTAAA